AATGCATAAAAAGTCAAGTCAAGCCTACCTTTGAAAGGAAAAGGAAGAGAATGTAAGTACCACTTTTTTTAATAAAACATTTAAAGAGTTGAACTCCTACATTGACCAATCCTTTTGTCTTTGTCTGTATCTATATGTGTCGATCACTCTCACCGTTTTTGCATTGTTTGCTTGCTTCTATTGTGTCGAGTTCACATGTATTTTCCACGTTAGAACCTTATTTTATGTACAAGAAAATCGATAAATTTATTTATTTATTTATAATTTTTTTTGTATATAATTGTTGAAGATATAAAAAAGTGTATATGATTGTTCTAAATAAGGTCCGTACCTTTTTATTAGCCACTCATTTATTTTATTAATAATTATAAGAAAGAGAGATTATATCAAAGTGGAAGCCGAGTAAAGATTATAAGAATCCATAATTTCCACTTTCTTCATTCTAATGAGTATAATATTTTCTCAAATGACCGAGTGTAAGTTATGAATTTATATTTATACTCGAAAAATGTAAAGGATTATATAATTTTTGTTGAATCAAGAAATGCACCTCGCAAGATTTACCCATCAGCAAGGTGGATAGCAACACATGAAGGGAACAAAGATGCAAAAGACTCATCTAAGAGTCACAAACTATTTTTCATAAAAAGACTGACTAGGACTCGTCTAAGAAGCATGTGGACAAATGAATAAAATGTGATTTATTATCCTATAAGATAACCAATAAGGAGCCGTCATCTGGTATAACGTGGTGGTTTGGGTTTAGACACTCCCTGCGATCTCCCTCTTCATCTTTATTTTTTTCGTTCTTTGATGCGGTGGTTGGTTGGGTTACGGCGATGGTTGCGTCGCGACTAGGCGGTGATTGGTGCAGGCAGTGGCTATAGTTAGGTCGCGATTCCAGTACGATTTTGTGATGGTTGGTTCGCCATTTTGGCTGGGCGATGGTGGTTTTTTCTGGTAGCGATTTGGCTTTAGCTTTAGCTGTGGCAGTAGGGGTATTTCTGGTGACGATTTTGGAGGGTGGTGGTGGCGATTTCTAGGGTATTTCTAGTGACAATTTCTGGTGGCGATTTCTGGAGATTTCGACAGAAGCAGTTATGGCCAGTTCAATTTTGGAGGATGATTTNGGTATGCAAATCCGGTGGTGGTGGACGAGGATGACCGGAGGTAAGAGGGTTGGAAAGTGGTTGCTCCATTGTTTTGGCTGAAGAAGGAACAGTAGCCTTTTTTTAGCTGTTTCTCGTGTTTTGGTTGTTTTCGTGGGATTGGCTTGAAAACGTCCAAAACGTTTTTTTCGTTTTGTGTACAAAAAAATTTTTGTTTTCAAAAACGCGTTTTCGAAAATAGGAAAGTGAACGCGTTTTCACTAGTTTTGAAAACTGAAAACAGAAAACGATCCGAAAACGTCAAAGAGAACGGCCCCTTATTTTTCTTTTGTTCTAGTTGAAGTATCAAGACTACTGAATTTAGGGGTGAAAGTCATGATTAGGTGAGACTAGTGATTTCTACAGAGAAGTTCTTGATTTCTTCAAAAAATACTATCTGTCAATTTTCTTCCTTNTGAGACTAGTGATTTCCACAGAGAAGTTCTAGATTTCTTCAAATATACTATCAGTCAATTTTCTTCCTTTGTTTAAGCCAATGAAGAGATGATATATAGAATAGAAGTTTTGGCAGATCATCAGGTCTTAGGAAGGTACCGAGGAAGATGAAAAGAAGAGTAAAGAATATTGCCACTTGAGGGTTGTAAACTGGAATATTGGTAGTATCTTGGCTGTCATTTATTTATAATTTTTATTATACAAGTTTCCTGGTTGGTGATGGCAAGAAAAGTAAAATGCACGTCGGCGTTGATTAAGAAGTTGTTGGGGGCCTAGTAGTTAGGTACAAGGTAGAAGTGGAAAAGAAAGATCAAAATTAATCTATAATATATTAAATATTATATCAAGCGAGAATAATTTTTTGGACGAATATAGCTATACTATAATTCAATTATTTCAATAATACTTTATTTTTCGTTTTTCAATATATATTTAATTTACAAACTATAATAAATACTAAAAAATCATTGTTCATGAATGTATTCTCTATTATTAATTCTCAATAGAATCATTTTTTGGACGATTATAGCCCTACTACAATTCAAGTATTTCAATAATACCTTACATTTCGTTTTTTTAATATATATTTAATTTAGAAACTGTAATAAATATTACAAAATTCTTGTTTATGAATGTATTTTTCATTATTAATTCTCAATTAATTAACATTAACATTCACATTCACATTCACATTCACATTCACATTCACATTCACATTCATTTGATTAATATTAATTATAATTTTCTCATTCAATTAATATTCACATTCTTTAAATCACAACCATCCAAGCTCCTTTCATCTCAACCGTCCACATCATTTTGTCAACTGAGCATGTAACCCACTTTGTAAAAATAACAATATTGCTTCATTATTCAAGTCCATATATGATAATTAGCATTCAATTTCACTTAATTAAAAATTAAATTATATTCATTTTAATATAAATGATTTAACATTCTCTCTCTCTCACACACACACACACACTTCTGAATTATTTAACTTTTACGTTAATTCATGTATCGTATTTTTCATTCATCGTCTTTTATGCATTTAGTTGTACTTTTAATGTTCATATTCAAGTATGTATTTCACTATTTATGTACTTATATAATAATTAATATTTATTTTTAGGGACTTGCATTTCTTTCATATTTAGATCAAATGAGTAAATATAGGGTCAAATATTATTTTTACAACATTTATAAAGTATTTCAAAATAACATGCAACACACGTGACTAGTAATATAAAAATTGGATATAAGTTTCATCTTCTCTCATCTTTTAGAACTCAATTTTAGCACTAGTTTGGTGTAAATTAAAATTTATTAAAAATTTTAAATCGAAATTAACAATTAGTTTTACGAGACCCACAATTTTTCACCACATATTTTATTTACTTTTATGAAAATCTAATTTTAATTTACACAGACGGGGACTTAATTTTCACGTGTAGTGATGTGCGGAACATATAATTTGAAGAAACTAAAGGAGCTCTGCCATATTTCCTGTTGAATTAGTTGCAAGCTATAATGAAGAATATGTGCATGACACAATCCTTAAACCTTCACATAAGCCAATGTCTCAAAGTCTCGAGAACTCGTTTTAATTGAAACAATGGGAGAAGCTTTATCAAACTTCAAAATATGCAGTCCTCATTTGAGTAACACACACTCAATAAAACTAAGTTTTTCCTAAATTTATTTTCAATTGTACATTCTCCTAATAAAATAATTTGTACGTAAATTCAAAAAAAAAAAAAAATTCCACTTTTTAATCACTCGTGACATAAAAATATCACTATTACAAACTGGGGTTCAATTTCTCCATTTTGCTCAGTTGTTCTTTCGAGCCGTGACTGTGCAGTGAACTTAGCAATAATTACCAATAATTTATTTTAGATAATCGAAGATTTTTGTAATCTAGGTAACTTAATAAATAAAGAAAATATAACGTGTACATTAAAAATGAACAAAAAAGTCAAGCCAAGCCTACCTTTGAAAGGAAAAAGAAGAAATTCAATATTTTTCCCACTTTTCAATCATACATGACATAAAAACATACTATTACAAAATTTATCTTTAAAAAGAAAAATGGGACTCAAACCAGGGCTCAATTTCTCCACTTTGTTCAGTTGTTCTCTCGAGCCGTGACTGTGCAGTGATCTTAGCAATAATTTATTTTAGATAATAGAAGATTTTGGTAATCTAGGTAACTTAATAAATAAAGAAAAATATAACGTGTACATTAAAAATGAACAAAAATGTCAAGCCAAGCCTACCTTTG